TTTTTTTTTTTTTTTTTTTTTTTTTTGTGGTACCGGGGATTGAACTTGGGTCCTTGCCGCCTGCAAGGCAGGCCACCGAACCACTGAGCTAAATCTCTGGCCCAATTTTTCTAATGTTTGATTCTTTCCTAATTCTCAACAGCTTATCTATTCTTCCTCTTCTGTGTATAGGATTCTTTTGTCATCTTCAATACTGGCCTAATGGTCATTAATTTTTTTATGATTATCTGTAAGTCCTCTATTTCTCCTTTGCTTTTGAAGCATAGTTTTGCTAGGTATAGTAATCTAAGTAGCCAGTTATTTTCTTTCAGGGCTTGAAGTACACCATTCTATGTTCTGGCCTTTACAGTTTCTTCAGAAAAGCCTGCAGTTTTCTTATGTGCTTGCCTCTGTGTGTAACTTGGTGTTTCTCTTTTGCAGTGCAGCTTTCAAAAGTATTCTTGTTCTGTTCTATTGCTATTTTTACTATAATATGATCTGAGGAAGTCCTTTTTCTAGTCATTCCTGTTTGAAGTACTAAATGCCTTCTGTACCTGGATGTCCACATCTTTCCCAAGATTTGGGAAGTTTTCTGTTGTTATTTCATTGAATAGATTTTCTAAACCATTACTTTCAACCTTGGTGGCTTCTTCAACACCAAGAAATTCCTATATTTTGTCTTTTAACTGTGTCCTAGAGTTGTTGGATATCTTGCTCTTATTTTTTTTCTTCTTTGGTGTCTTGAGTGTGATGACTTATCAACCTTATCTGCAAGACCTAAAATGGTACATTCTGTTTTACCCAGTCTGTTGGTGAGGTTTCTTTCACTGAGATTTTTTATTTAATGTACTTTTCATTTCCAATATTACTATTGAGTTCTTCTCCAGAATCTGTCTTTATTGCACTGCCCCTTCATATCCTGCATTGTTTTACTTTAATCACTTATTTATTTGTATCTTTTTTCTTTATTTATTTTTTGTAGCAGGGATGAAATTAAGGACCTTTTACTTGCCAGGGAGGTGCGGTGACACTGAGCTACATCCTTAGCCCTATTTGTATCCTTTTTGAAGTCATTAATCATTTTAGAAATCCGTTCTTTTAATTCTTCTGGCATTTCATCCATAGCAGGGGAAAGGGTACTGGAGTTTAGCCTAGGGCCTTCACACTGACGTACATCCCCAATCCTTTTTATTGTTTAATTTGAGACGGGGTCTCACTAAACTGCTAAGTTGCCCAGGCTGAGTTCAAACTTGCAGTCCTCCTGCCTTACTGTCCCTGATTGGTGGTATAACAGATGTGTACCACCATGGCCAACTGTACTTTGATATCTTTACATACAGTTATTGACAAGTTTTTAGATACCTTCAGAGAAATCATATGGTCTTGACTTTTCATACTTCTATTTCTGTGTTGAGACCTGTGTATTTGCTGAGATGTTTGTTTCTGTTTTAACATGAAGTTCTAGTATCATACCTTCTGTATTGAGGACTTAATCCTCAGCACCACGCAAACTGGAGAAAACAAACAGTAGTAACAACAATGACACTAAGACAAACCCAGTACTGACAGCTGGTAAAACAATTAAATGCAACAGTTTTACCACCATTAACAGTAGAGCACTAGCTATACCATCATTAAGAACAGGGAATAAAAGGCATAAAAATAATATAAAAGGCTAATGTAAACTAAAGGGCTAAAAATTAATAAAGGTTAAAAGTAACAACAATAAAGGAATAAAAATAGAAGAGGTTGGGAAAGAGAAAAATGAAGTAAATTTTTTAAAAATAAAAAGCTAGGGCTGGGAATTTAGCTCAGTGTTTCTGCCACCTGCCTTGCAAGCAGAAGGTCCTGAGTTCAATTCCCAGTAATAAAAAATAAATAAATAAAATAAAATGATAAAAAAGCCAGTTACAAAATCAAAAAGTAGATAAAATTGATAGTATTAACAGGGAAAAAACAAAACAAAAAAATGGGGAAAGAAATGAACTACAAAAGCCCAAACATAGTTCACAACAATTCCTCCATGCTACTGGCCCAGTGTTTTTCACGGGAGGGTCACTCCCCACCTTACCTTTGACATGAGCTCTCGGTGGTCCCCTGATTATCACAGGGATGCTTTCTTTCAGCTCACTTTTCACTTGAGCACTCACAGGTCCACTGCTCATCCTGGGGAGGCCATCTCCAGGCTCACCTTTCACTTGAGCAGTCGGTGGTCCACTGCTTATCATGCAGAGACCCTCTACAGGCTCACTTTTTACTTGAGAAGTTGGTGTTCCACTCTGCATCACAGGGAGGCCATCTCCGGGCTCACTTTTTACTTGAGCAGTCTGTGGTCCACTCATCACAGGGAGGCCCTCTCCAGGCTCACCTTTCTCTTGAGCAGTAGTGTTCTCCTCACCCTCAGAAGCTGTGAGGCACTTCTCAGGCACTGTGGCTGGCTCCGTACTTTGCTCTATGTCATCTGTCTGTTGCTCTGAAATTACTGGTTGTTCTGCCACCTCTTTCTTAGTTTTCGTAGATCTTTTTCTCCTTGTTGTTGGTGAGTTGTTGTTTTCTGGAGCAGGGAGAATCTGTTGACCTGGGAAAATAGCATACTTTTGTTTATATGGTGCCATCCTTTTATTTATTTCATTCATGACTATACAGTATATGTCACTTAACCCAAACCAAAACAAAATAATGTCAGTATAGGAAATTATTGAATAAGTTGTTTAATTAGTATCTGTTTTCCTGTAATTCAGATTTCAGAAAAGCTTTGTCTTGAACATTATCCTTTATTACTAGTGGAAATACCCTCAAGCTTATAAAGAATTGCAAAAATAATACAAAGAACATCACAGTATCCTTTACCCACTGAGTAAATACACTTTCCTTCTTAAAAAAATTATCATTTGCACTTTTCATAAATGTGAATGCATATATATATATGCATATATATATATATATATATGCATATATATATATATGCACAAAGTTTTTCAGTCATTTAACATAGGTTGCAAATATCAGTGTCTTTCACTCCTAAATCTCAAGTCCCTAAAATTACAGAGTGCTTCCTTAGTATGTCCAGCACCCTGGGTTTAATCCCCATTTCAGGAAAACAACATAAATATACCATTGGACATAGTGGCATACCTCTATAATTCCAGCTATTACAGAGGCTGATGAAGGAGAATTTCAAGCTTAAGGAATGGTGTGCAATTTACCAAGATTTTATATCAAAATAAGCTTACTATGGGCTGGGGATTTATCACAATGGCACCACACCTGCTTCACAAACACAAAGTCCTGAGTTTGATCCCCAGTTCTGGGGGTAAGAAAAAAAAAAAAAAAAAGAAAAAAACACCTGCTAACCTAGCATGCTCAACACTGTAGTTTCCATCTCCAGTACCAGGAAAAAAGAGCAGGTTATGAAACCACTGTCTTTGTCTTTTTTTTTTTTTTAACTGTTTTCTCACAATTAAATTTGTGTTATATTTTCTGGACTATCATACTGTTTATATAGTATCATGTCCTTTTCAGAGTAGTATCCCAACGAGGCATATGGTATCCATCTGTCCCTCATTGCTGACATGAGTCTTGATCGCCCAAGTCAAGATATTTTCTAATTTCTCTACTATAGCCTTTATTTCCCCTTTGTAATAAGCAGTCTTTGGGAGATACTTTTTTTTTTTTTTTTTTTTTTTTTTTTTGTACCAGGGATCAAACTCTGATCTTTGTGCTTGTGAGGCAGGCGGTGGAACCAATGAGCTAAATCCCCAGCCAGTTTGGGAGATACTCTTAGGGCAAATATCCTGTTCACATAAAAGCTCTATTTTAGACTTACTGTGTTATTTGGTTCTTTCAGTATGTTGTTTTAATATGTTTTGGGGTTTTTTTGTTTTGTTTTGTTTTGGTTTGGTTTTTTTTGGATTTTTGAGACAGGGTCTCACTATGTAGTAAGACTGCCCTGGAACTCACTATGTAGCCCAGGCTGGTCTCTCAAACTCCCAGTGATCCTCCTGCCTCAGCCTCCAGAGTGCTGGGATTACAGGCATATGCCACCACGCCCAGCTCTGTTTTAATGATTAATATGTTGTTTGGTTCCAATTTCTACCATGCTGTTGCAAACTGGTGATTTTCCAGCTGGACATAGTGGTACACACCTGTAATCCTAGCACACTACAGGTTGAAGGAGGAGAATCACCTGAGCTACACATTGAGTTCAGAGCCAGTCTGAACTATGTGGCAAGCCACTGCTTCAAACAAACATAAAAGGAACTTTCTGTCACCAGCACTCCCTATTCATTCTTCTGTAAGCAAGAGATCTCTTTTCTCTCCCTTTATCTGTTACTGGTAGAAAATTCCGACCTTTTTTGTGTTTTTAACTCATTACTGTATGTCTTTTGATATCAGATTGTCAAAAAAAAGTAGTAGCTCTTTTCTATGGGCTTCTATACTCTTGTGCCTTGTCCCATCCCATCTTTTACTATCCTTGAGCTTGCGCTTCATTTATGACTTGGTAGACACAGCTCATCTTGTACCTACATTCTGCTGTTACTCCCTGTTCAGCATTGTTCCTAAACCACACTAAATGGAATATAGTTAGCACACAGCTCCAGCACTAGGCAAATTCCAGAGGCTGAAGAAAGACCATACTCTGTGCTTTTATCAACCTGCCTTTCCAATAACCAGGAGCTGGGCTAAGAACCACTGAACTGGAGGCAACTGCTTTAAAAGAATACTAAGAATAGAAAAGCGGGCAAGGTGGTGCCACATCTGTATTATCAGCATTCAGAAGGCTGAGGCACAAGGATAGCGAGGTATAGGCCAATTTTGGCCACATACGAGTTCCTGCACATCCCAAGCTACAGTAACAAGCTCCTGTCTCAGAAAGTGTTGGGGATGTAGCTTAGCAATCCCCTGTTCAGTACCCAGTACTCCCCTCCAAATACAATTAGATTCTAAAACCTTAGAAAAATAATTTAAGTAATTATTGAATATTTAATTGCGTAAATATTAGTTACTTAATAATTCCTAAAATAATTACTTAATAATTTAAGTAAAATAATTTTATTTTTATGTAGAAAAACACACCTCATGTTTTGTTTCTGGTTTTTTTCCTTTCAGGTTGAGGAAATTAGGAGAGACTTGTGCTTAATTTCTAAGAATCCATTGTCTATAACATCTCTAACCTTCAAATTCTGTTTATCACAAGAGTTAACTCTTTTGCTTACTTGTGTTAAAGCAATACAACTTTCCTATATCTATTATTCTTGATGTCCCATGACTTTGAAGAAATAGCTAGATTTTATGTGTTTCTCTTTTCAACCTTTAATTTAAATTTTTTTTAAAAGCTTCAGTTTTCTAAATAGCAATGTTTTATTTACTGTCCTTTTAATTCCCTCTTTGTTTATACTTTTTAGGGGTTACTATAATGAAAGACAGAGATACAAGGAAGAGTAAAGGGCTTGCATTTGTATTATTTTTGGATAGATAAAGACTGCACAAGGGCTGGGGATTTGGCTTAGTGGTTCTGCTGCCTACCTTGCAAGCACAAGGGCCGGAGTTCCATCCCCGGTACAAAAAAAAAAAGACTGCACAAAACTGCACCAGAGCCATAAACAACAAACAGATAAGCCATTCATTTGCATCTTTTTTTGTACCGGGGATCAAATGGTATCAGGGAATCAAACTTGTCCTTGCAAGGCAGGCAGTAAAACCAATAAGCTAAATCCATGGCCCAGTGCATCAGTTCTTTTTAAATCCCAAAAGCCTTTGCACTCATTCAGTACAAAAAGTGTCCAAACACATGAGCTGGTCAACCTACAGGAGCATGGTGAATATCATTAGATTCAGAGAATACCAAACTTATTTCAGTGTTGTACTGGCTTCTCAAAACTGGCAAAATGTAAGAAAGAAAAGAAGTACAGAATAGATTTTTATCAGACCTAAGTAGGAAAATTGCTAAATTAACGTGCCTGGAAATGGAATTGAAGTTTTACAGGAATAGGATTGAATTACTAGTGAAATACTACTGAGATTCCAGTGAAATACAACCTTCTACATTTACATTTTTCTCTGGTTTAGTTGTTTGGTAGAGTGATAAAGGCAAGCATTGCTATTGACAATGGGAGAGCAGCTGAATTCATCCGAAGGCGAAACTACTTTGATAAATCCAAGTGTTATGAATGTGGGGTGAGTACACCTGAAGCTTCATGAAATCTTCTGCACATTTGTTTCCTTGAAGGTGTTTTCCACATCAGTCTTTTATTGGTGCCCACCAGAACTTCAGACAGGCTGTAACCAGGTGACAAAAGTTGCTTTACTTAGACTCTCATCTAAGTAAAGCTTAACTGAAAGGTATTTATGAAACGCAGTGTTGCATGCTTGCAATCCCAGCTTCATGGGAGGATGAGGCAGGAGAATTGCAAGTTTGATGCCAGCCTACAGAACTTAGCAAGATCCTGTCTCAAAAGTAAAAGGTGGGAGTGTAGCTCAGTAGTAAAGACTCCTGGTGTTCAATCCCTAGTACCAGAAGGTGTGGGGTGGGGAGAGTTTCTGTTATGCTACCTGTTTCTGTAACATTTGGGCAGTGGCCAACATCACAGCTCAGCACCATTATCATCTGTCCCATTTCTCTGAGATACACTATGAGTTGAATTTTTGTTGTTGACATGCATTTTCACTATGTTCCCCTGGCAGATCTCAAACTCAGGGGGGCTCAAGTGATCCTCCTGCCTCAGGCTCCCAAGCTAGTGGGATTACAAGCATGACGTAGCAACTGGATGGGAAATGCATCTCTAAACACATTCTCTCTACATTTCAATTAAGGATAACTAACAACACATATATTCACATATGTCCCATGTATACAAAGTGGGTTATGGTCTGTTTGCCACTTTGTCAAATATAAAGGTTTCCTGATTTTGGGTTTTTCTTTGTTTTTTCTTTGCTTGTTTTTTGCAGTACTGGGGAATGAACCCAGAGCCTCCACAATGAGCTACTACATCTCCAAGCCTTTTTTTCTTTTCATTTGGGGTCTCACTAAGATTCCATACTGGGCTCAAATTTAAAAGCCTACCTCAGCCTCCTAAAGTGCTGGAATTACATCCAAGTGCCATTACCCACACACAACTATAACAAATTATTTTTCAGTGTATTTTAGTGAGGTAATATACTCAGAGTTACAGTGTAATTCATCTCTGTCAGATACAATTATTATATAAACTACAATTATGATTTTAAATATTCAACCACATTGAAAAAAGAGACAAGGGCTAGGGATTTAGCACAACTGCACTGTACCTACCTCGCAAGCACAAGGTCCTCAGTTCGATCCCCTCAGTACCACCAAAAAATCAAAAAAGGAAAGATGGCAGAGAATATAAGCTCACTACTCTTATATAGTATGTGCAAGGCCCTGGGTTTAATCCTTAGCAAAACACACAAGGAAAGGTAAATATTAGTAATATACTAATATTAGTAATATACTAATGTTTTTTTACCTAACCCAATATATGTCAAAAACAATATCCAATAGCCAGGTATAATCCCAGGACTCTAGGACGCTGAGACAGAAGGATTTCATGTTGAAGCCCAGCCTGAGCAATTTAGAAACTTATTAAAATCCTCTCTCAAAATAAAAGGATTATGGATATAGATCAGTGTGGAGGCCCTGGATTCAGTCCCAAGTACCACCAAAACAAACAAACAAAAAACTGTGATAACCAGTACCTTCTAAATTAATATACACAGGGCTTTTTGGTAGTGTTTTTAGACAGTGTCTAACTATGTATATCACACTGCCTTGAATTCACTTGTAGCTCAAGCTGTCGATGAACTCTAAGCAATCCTCTGGCCTTAGCCCCCGCCAAATTCTGGGATTGCAGCTGTGCGCAACCAAGCCCAACTGCTCTCTAATTATTGGGACTCATTATATCACAGACTCTTCGTGCTAAAAGTTTATCATTAATTCATTTTGTTTATCCCCACTTTGAGAATACTCCTTTTTAAATTCTAAAAGCTTGTAGTTACAGAATACCGGGTAAGTTAATAACAATAATAAATACAGCATCTTTCCTCTTCAATGCTCAACAAAAGGAAAGTGGACACTTAAATTATGCCTGTCCGAAAAATATGCTTGGAGAACGTGAGCCTCCAAAGAAGAAAGAAAAAAAGAAGAAAAAGAAAATCGCCGAACCAGAAGAAATGTGAGTAATCCGCCCTCGCTGGGTACCTTAGGGTCAGCTTCTGTCTTTAATGCTGCCTGATTACATTCTGCTGTTTCTCCTCCAATGCGGTAGGGAGGACGTAGCAGAAAGCGAAGACGAAGGGGAAGACCCCGCTCTGGACAGTCTCAGCCAAGCCATCGCGTCCCAGGTACCAAGTTGTTTGCATTTGCGGGGCTGGGACTCAAGCCCAAGGCCTCTTTTGTGCTAGGGAAGTGCTGACCTTTTCTTTCTTCCCTTTTTTTTGTTTTTGTTTTTGTTTTTTTTCCTTTCTTTTTGTAGTGCTTGGGATGAGTACCACAGTAAAGTGTTCTTTTGTAAGATCCTGTATGGTAGTTGCCTTAGATTGAAGTTTTATAAATTTTCAGTCTCGTGGCAACTTCTGTTCTCCCACTTCATTAAAAGTCTGAGAAGACAGGCTGTCTCTCTAAGGCCTTGGTGTGTGAAACGTCGCCATCATCTCCCTGTGTAGCCAGGATGGCTTGAATTCAGTGATCCTCCTGCATCAGCCTCCCAGGTGCCGGGATTACACACATGCACCAGCACACCCAGCCAGGGCAGTATGAGGGACTGAACACAGGGGCTACACTCAACAAGCTACGCCCCCACCCCTTACCTGTTTTCATTATAGAATTGAGCAGAACGGTTTGACTGAATTGAGTTTGGTCCAACCAAAAACATTTTCTAGAAAGTGCCTAGGATGGGGATGTAGCTCAGCGTTAAGACCTTCCCTAGCATTCGTGAGGTCCTGGTTTGGTCCCAGCCCATCAAAGAGTAAAAATAGTGCTACACACCTGTAACCCTAGCGGTGAAGGAGACTGAGGCAGGAGGACTGCAAGTTCAAGTCCACCACCTGGGCAATTTAGCGAGACCTTCTCTCAAAATGCAAAATGAAGAGGGCTGGTGACGTAGCTCAGTGGTAGAGTGCCCTTGGGTTCAGTCCCCAGTATGGCAAAACTAATAGCAGTGATAGTAACAGTAATCATCATAACAAAGTGCTCAGGACAGCCAGGCACGGGGATGCGTGCCTATAATCCCAGCTGCTAAGGAGGGTGGAGCAGGAGGGTCTCAAATTGAACCAGACTCAGTCTCAAAATTTAAAAAGTAAGTGCCAGGCATGGTGGCACAGGTCTGTAATCCCAGTACACCCAGGAGGCTGAGGCAAGAGGACAGCCACAAGGTCAACGACAGTATACTGAGTTCAAAGCCAAACTTAACTCAAAGCAAGACCCAATCTCCAAAACAAAACAAAAAACATGGGAGAATAGTTCCTGTAACCCTGGGCTCATCCCCATTTCTGCAAGCAGGCAAACGTTACCTGGGGTGATTTTGAGCAGTGCAGTGCTGGGGACCAAGCATGGTCGTGGGGAGGATGTCTTGTTGTCTGCCTGGCCTAGGAGGGTGGGAAGCCTTGGTGTTCGTGTTGACTTCACCATGCAGGAATTAATGTACCCTAAATAAAACCTTGCTTTGGTTTGGTTTTCTGAATCCCTTTCCAGCAAGCCAAGATCGAAGAACAGAGCAAATGGAAGCCCAGTGTGGGGGACCCCTCAACGTCAGAGGATTCACGGTGCCCGAGGATAAAGAAGACCACATACTTTAGTGATGAGGAAGAGTTTAGTGATTAGAGTAGTATCATGTAATGTCTGGAAAACAAAAACCATCTGCAGTACAAATTATTTGCATATAAGAGCACTTAGGACCAGATAGTATTTTTTACCATAAAACAGTGCTTAGAAGATGAAAAATAATTTTTTAATATATCATGTTTCAAGCTGGGTACAGTGACCTACTCCTGTAATTCCAGCACTCTGGGAGGCTGAGGCAGGAGGACTTAAAGTTCAAGCCCAGCCTGGGAAACTTAGCCAGACCCTGTCTTGAAATAAAAGATAATTTTAAAAGTTACATTGAGAATGTAGCTCAGTGTGAAGGCCTACGGTTCGATTCCCCATACAGAAAAAAGATATTTCTACCTTGTGTTGACATACTATAGACTTAACATCTCTAATCAAAACTCCAGAATACTCAAGTGGAAAATTCCACACCATGCAACTATGATTCACAGGCAATATGAAAACTGTATCCAGTTTGTCTTCCAGTTATGTAGAGAAGGCATTTACGAAGTACAAGTGAAACTCATACTTAGACTGAGGTTCCATCCAGAAAATGTCACATTCTGTGTATATGCCCATATTCCAAAATACTTCTGGTGCCTATTTTTTTGTTGGTTTGGTTATGAGACAGGGTCTTCCTCTGTAGTTCAGGCTGGCCTTGAACTCAGTATGTAGTAGCCCAGGCTGGCCGCAAACGTAAGGCAATCCTGCTGCTTCAGCCTCCAAAGTTCTGGGATTAGAAAGAGAGCACCACTGCACTTGGCTGGTCCCAAATATTTGGGATAAGGGGCACTCTGTACTAAAATTTGGGATTTGTGAGTAGCAATCAAACTTGGAAATAACTAATTTTAATAAAAACAACAAAACTACAATGGTAATGCTATTTTTATCCCATAAAAAGGGGTATTAAACAGATTTGAAAACTGTCCTGTCAACGCTTTAGTCATGTCTCAGTTTTACAGGTAAAAAACTTCATATGAACTGAAAAAATATAGGGCTTAAAAAGATGTGGTCTTACAATATGGGTGCTTCTTCATCTTCTTTTAGCTTTATCCCAGTCTACATGTATATAAGTTAAAAATATCCATAAAATAGCCAGAGTGGGGGTGCGTACCTGTAATCCCAGCACTGGGAGGCTGAGACAGGAGGGTGCCATAAATTCCAGATGAGCTTGGCCTACACATAGTTCAAGGACCAGCCTGAATTACAAAGCAAAACCCTGACTCAAGAAAAGAAAAAAAAAAAGGCTTAAAGCCAAATGGGTCATACCTATCTATTTTGCGTGTAACACCAAATTCTGCTCCCAGAAACAACCAGTTTCCACTGCTGGTTTATATATATATATATGACACTGCTGGTATATATATATATATGCAATGCAAAAAAATGCCTAAATTTCTGTCCATTGATATAAAAGGGTAAAGGAGGATTTTTGTTTTGGTTTGGTTTTTGGTACCAGGGATCAAACTCAGGTCCTTGCACTTGGCGAGGTAGGGGGTAGAAAA